ACACTAAGTTGACTGTGCCTTTAAACAGCTTGGAAAATTCCAGAAAATTATGTCATGGCTTTAGAAGCTTCTGATAGGCTAATTGACATCATTTGAGTCAATTGCAGGTGTACCTGAGAATGTATTTCAAGGCCTACCTTCAAACTCTCAAACTCTGCTTGACATCATGGGAAAATCAAAAGAAATCAGCCAAGACCTCAGAAAAATAATTGTAGACCTCCACAAGTCTAATTCATCCTTGGGAGCAATTTCCAAACGCCTGAAGGTACCACGTTCATCTGTACAAACAATAGTACCCAAGTATAAACACCATGGGACAGGTACAAAAGTATCTATATCCACAGTAAAACGAGTCCTATATCGACATAATCTGAAAGGCCGCTCAGCAAGGAAGAAGCCAGTGCTCCAAAACAGCCATAAAAAAGCCAGACTACAGTTTGCAACTGCACATGGGGACAAAGATCGTACTTTTTGGAGAAATGTCCTCTGGTCTGATGAAACAAAAATAGAACTGTTTGGCCATAATGAACACCATCTCAACCGTGAAGCACTGGGGTGGCAGCATCATGCTGTGGGGGTGCTTTGCTGCAGGAGGGACTGGTGCACTTCACAAAATAGATGGCATCATGAGGAAGGAAAATTATGTGGATATATTGAAGCAACATCAAGACATCAGTCAGGAAGTTAAAGCTTGGTCGCAAATGGACAATGACCCCAAGCATACTTCCAAAGTTGTGGCAAAATGGCTTAAGGACAACAAAGTCAAAGTATTGGAGTGGCCCTCACAAAGCCCTGACCTCAATCCTATAGAAAATCTGTGGGCAGAACTGAAAAAGCGTGTGCGAACAAGGAGGCCTACAAACCTGACTCTGTTACACCAGCTCTGTCAGGAGGAAAGGGCCAAAATTCCCCCAACTTATTTTGGGAAGCTTGTGGAAGGCTACCCGTAACGTTTGACCCAAGTTAAACAATTTAAAGGCAATACTACCAAATACTAATTGAGTGTATGTAAACTTCTGACCCACTGGGAATGTGATGAAAGAAATAAAAGCTGAAATAAATCAATCATTCTCTCTACTATTATTCTGACATTTCACATTCTTAAAATAAAGTGGTGATCCTAAGTGACCCAAGACAGGGAATTTTTACTAGGATTAAATGTCAGGAATTGTGAAAAACTGAGTTTAAATGTATTTGGCTAAGGTGTATGTAAACTTCCGATTTCAACTGTACATATCACAGATTTCATATGAGAAGTGGGCCATAATCAGCTAAGAAATCACTAAGGCATAATACAAGATTACACGCAAGGTAAGCCCCATGGCAGATGATACTGACTTCACATTATTCACATTACATTTTACATTTACATTTTAGTCATTTAGCAGACGCTCTTATCCAGAGCGACTTACAGTTAGCACATACATTATTTTATCGAACCCACAACCCTGGCGTTGCAAACGCCATGCTCTACCAACTGAGCTACATCCCCTGCCGGCCATTCCCTCCCCTACCCTGGACGACGCTGGGCCAATTGTGCGCCGCCCCATGGGTCTCCCGGTCGCGGCCGGCTACGACAGAGCCTGGATTCGAACCAGGATCTCTAGTGGCACAGCTAGCACTGCGATGCAGTGCCTTAGACCACTGCGCCACTCGGGAGACATCCAGCCATAGGTACCGTATGATGCAATAAAGCATGTTTCAGAATAAGCTTTGTGCCCTTAGCCATTAACACACTAAAAACCGACTCCACTGATTATTGCTAGGACTTACTAGTGTGATTGTTTCTATGATATGTTGGCTGATGCGGTACACTGTTGTTCTGTTACTGTGTTGTGTTGCTATTGACATGGGGATTTTGCTTCTGTTTGTAACTAACTTTGTAACAACGGGTTGTAAAATCAGAACAAACTTTATTCACCAAGAATATTTACATGTACCAGGAATTTGACCTGGTGACACAGTGCTGATATACAGTATATGGATTATAAGAATATTATAACAATATTACAATGGCTCATGTATTCAAGTATGTTGTGCTGGAGTATGCTGATGTTCAGCTTGTCAGTTGCACCAAAGAGCTAGAGAAGGAGCTTGAGCGAGTACAATAAAGATGGATATATTTTGCTCCCTTGCTCCCCAACCCTACCCTCACGTTTTTGGCCATGGTTGGTGACTTTAACGGAATGTATATAGAAAGCCACAATTTTACCCCTCAAAGACATGAGGGATCCATCGCACCCTCTTCACGACCTCCCTCTACTCAGAGAGCACTGACAGTTTACGGCTTCTCAGTTCCACCTGCTAGGACAAAGCCATTCCAACTATTTCCTACATTCTGCTATCAGACTCTATACTGGTAGAGATACATTTAAAGTCTACATGATTCTTTGATATATTCAAATCAAATACAATTTTATTGGTCGCATACACATATTTAGCAGATGTTATTGCAGGTGTAGCAAAATTATTGTGTTCCTAACTCCAACAGTGCAGTAGTATCTAACAATTCACAACAATACACACAAATCTAAAAGTAAAAGAACGGAATAAGAAATATATCAATATTAGGACGAGCAATGTCGGAGTGGCCAGTGTTCCATTATTAAAGTGACCAGTGATTCCATGTCTATGTACATAGGGCAGCAGCCTCGAAGGTGCAGGGTTGAGTAACCAGGTGGTAGCCGGCTAGTGACAGTGACTAAGTTCAGGGCAGGGTACTGGGTGGAGGCCGGCTAGTGGTGGCTATTTTAACAGTCTGATGGCCTTTTTCAGTCTCTCGGTCCTAGCTTTGATGCACCTGTACTGACCTTGCCTTCTGGATGATAGTGGGGTAAACAGGCCGTGGCTCGGGTGGTTGATGTCCCTGCAGTGGCAGTCTTTCTGAATTCGTAAATTACAATCTGGGTCAGCCATCGGTCAACGACCAATGTGCGAGACTGCTCTCTTCACAAAAACAAAACTGAAACTATAGAACTGCAAATGAGCCGTCGTGGGGCAGTGTGCCCACAAAAAGTTAGGTTGGAGGCCGTACAGGGTCGTAATCACTAGGCACCAAACAGAATGAAAACGGACTGAAACTGCAAGGGACTACCTGAACTTGTCCTATAAGAAATGCTTATTTTTAGTTTTTCATTGCAAGGGGGTTTTGCTACGGTCTGCATCAATATACGTACTCTAGGTACAACAGA